TCCCTCTTTCATTGCTGTGTCACCATCATCTTTGACCTGGAAACTTCACGTCCCATCCCATCTCCAAAGCACACTAATTTACTTCTTAAAAAAAAAAAAAAAATCTTTTTTTTTTTTTGATAGCTTCATTCCCCTGCTTTAAACCTCTCTATCAACTGGGTCCTACTGCGTTGGAATAAAGTCAAAATCATTCAACAATGGGTTTCATTTTACCTTCCTTGCCACGTCATTCCTTACTTCAAGTACCAGCCAAGAGAATCTGTCAGGCTCCATCCTAAAGGCACAAGGCTCCATCTTGCCTCTGGGGGTCTGCATACTAGGTTATTCCTTCTGTCTAACCTCGCCAGTCCCCCAGAAATTCTTACCCGAGCAATGCCTATTCAACATTCAAGTTCCACCTTAAAATACCAAATCCTCCATGAGCCCCTGAGTCCGGTGTTGAGTTAGGCACCCTCAGCACCGTAAAAAGCTCTACACATGAAATGGGATGCCTGGGTGGCTCAGCTGGCTAAGCGCCTAACTCTTGATTTCGGCTCAGGTCAAGATCTCGCAGTTTCAGGAGTTCGAGCCCCACATCGGGCTCTTAGCTGAAAGCACAGAGCCTGCTTAGGATTCTGTCTCCTTGTCTTTCCGCCCCTCCCCTGCACTCATGGTCTCTCCCTCCCTCTCAAAAATAAACAAACTTTAAATAAATCTTAAAAAGAAAAAAGGCTCTACACATGACTTATCACAGAACATTGTAACTGCACTGCCCATCCCCTCCTCTGTAACACCTCTCTGGGTACCTGGAGACTGCAAGCTGGGGATGCCCAACTGAAAGCGCTAGCCCTATTGGCCTATACAGTGTGTGGCACGAATAAGAACTCAACAAAGACAGGATGATGAAATCATCAGAAGTTAAAATCATATAACTAACTGTTGTAAGGGTATGGTCAGGTGTTATACCATTTCTCCTTAAGACCAACATCAAAGAAATACAGTAATTAAGCCACATTAGAAAACTTTCTTGGGGCAACTGGGTGGCTCAGCGGGCTGAGCATCTGACTGGATTTCAGCTCAGGTCATGATCTCACGGTCATGAGATTGAGCCCTGTGTCAGGCTCCACACTGACAGTATGTACAAAGCCTCCTTAAAAATCTCTCTCTCTCTCTCCCCCTCTGCCCCTCACCCCTCTCTCTTGATCCTACTCTCACTCAAGACAACAAAACCAAAACCAAAAACTTTCTTAAAAATAATCAACTTGTATTTTGTTGAAATAATTTGGAATCCAAAAAAAAGTTGCTACCTTTTTTCCTCCTGCTTATGCATGTATATACAATTATTCAAAAGGGTAAAGAAAACATATGCTACTATTTAACAAAAACTGTGGTATTCTTATTCTGGAAACCAAACACAATTGTGAAATATGAAGAAAGGTTTCTTGAGGAAACAGAAGTAACAACCTTGTTTAAAATAAACATGTAAGCAAGTCTTTTATGCCATATCTTGTTCTAAAATAAACTTAAGGGCACTTGGATGGCTCAGTTGATTGAGCTCCGGACTCTTGATTTCAGCTCCAGTCATGAGCCCAGGATTGGGCTCCAAGCTGAGCATGTGGAGCCTATCTGAGATTCTCTCTTTCCACTCTCCCCACTTACGTTCTCTTTCTAAAATAAAATAAAATTTAAGCCAGATTACAAAAATACATACATCACAAATAAATAAAATTTAAAGAAATCTCAACAGAAAAAAAAAAACACAATGGTGGAAGATAAATTTAGAAATGAGATAGGGACACAAACTATATGCTTCCTGGTTCTGTATATTTGTAAATGATGAGTCCAAAATGTGGCTCTCAGGGTCCGGGGTGCCTCTGTCGGTTATATGTCTGACTCTTGATTTTGGCTCGGGTCATGATCTCACGGTCAGGAGACTGAGCCCCACACTGGACTCCATGATGAGCAAGGAGCCTACCTGGCATGCTCTCTTACCCTCTGTCTCTTCCGGGCTCTCTCTCTAAAAAAACAAACAAACAAACAAACAAAAACAAGCAAAAAACAAAACAAAAAACCACGTGGCTCTCGGCTTACGGGTGGGCTACCACATTTGCCGTGTCAGGTGACCATTGCTACCCTTGTCCTAGAGCCTCACCTTAAACAGGATATTTCCCACATCTTCTGTCAATACCGTCTTTCTTCAGATACTTCTAAAATCACAGGATCACAGTCTTGATTATTCAACTCCTCCATTTAGAAGTCTTTCTAAAAACTAGCTGCAGCTAACACTCTCTAGGATCATAACATTTCCTTTCCGGCAACAAGCTCATAACTACGGGCAACTCTGCCGGAGTGTGGCTCGTGACCCATGGCTGCGGCGGCCAGCCACACCTGCCACAGACATAATGCCAAACTGCCTCTCCTTAAGCGTGCTTTACATTAGATCAGAAACTTATGCGTATTTAAAACCGTGTGATGATATGACAACCACCTTTTCTTTTTTCTGACACAAAATAAGGTGACCACTATGAAAACTCTGTCCTAGAATAAAGTCACGTTTTGCCTTCAGCTAGCTTCTACAGCTCGCTACAGTGGCTACAACTTCAGGCAAAAGAACCTCACATCAAAGCGCAGTTTGATTCACTCTGAAACACATCTTGTCTGATTCCTTTTGTTCTACCAAGATTTATGGACAAAAGCTGGAGGCTTCTATCCTCCAAGTTTCGATAGAAGCACTTGGAATATGCTTAGATGGACTGTTCCAGCTGTTTAAACTGCAATCCCAGGAGTCTGCCTCCTGGAGGCATTTTAGGCTTTACATATTTGAAAATGAAGAGAATGGGTCAGTCAAAGGACACACTTGAGGTCTGCATGTGACAGAAGCTGGGAAGGGGGTAACTAGTAAGAAATGGAGAACGGACTGGGGGACACCATAAACCTCACTTTAAAAATATGTTTTAGAGTAATTACTGAGAGACATATGCAGTAGGACACATGTTACTGTGCTATTTAAATACTGGCTACATGAACCTGGAATTAAATCCATTCGCTGTTTTTAACAAAATCAGACATCAATAACTCTATGCTCCCTAACCACTTGTTATTTGCATTCACTTTGAAAAACCACCTATGCCTAAAACTCAAGAACTAGTGTAACTAAGATTTTTTTTAAGTTTATTTATTGAGAGAGAAAGAGAGAGAGAGAAAGTGAGGGAGGGCAGAGAAAGAGAGAGAAAGTGAGGGAGGGCAGAGAAAGAGAGAGAGAGAGAGACAGAGACAGAGACAGAGAGAGAGAATCCCAAGCAGGCTCCATATTGGAGCACAGAGCCTGATGTGGGGCTCGACCCCACAAACTATGAGATCATGACCTGAGCCGAAATCAAGAGTCAGATGCTTAACCGATGAGCCACCCCAGCACCCCAAAAACTAGCTTTTTTTAAAAAACATTAGTGTTCTTTTAATAGAAATCACACCCATCTGTCATTACTTTTTGGTCCTTTACATACTATGATATTAATTTTTTAGTACTTAATGCCTGCTTGTTTTTGCCTAACCTATGTAACTACCAGTGAACTAAGAGCTTCACTCTTTTATTTGAGACTCATAAACAACCTTGTCAACAGATATTATCATTTCCTTTTTATGTAGGTAAGGAAATGGAGACAGTAGCCACATCACAAATGGATACAAATACACATGCCTGCACTGTTTTGGGCAGGCTTATTTAATGATTAAGGGGGCGATGATGTCATTTGAAATCCATTTTATTCCATCTAGATCCAATCAATGTGAACAAATCCATAGCTGTCTAACTTCCAAACCTTCCACACAGGACTATGTTCATGATTGCCTCTGTAAATCATAAATTTCGTCAATTACAATCCCAAGACCGCTTCTAACACATCCCAGCCAAGCAACTGAGCTCCCAAAGATTTTTCAGAACACAAAGATGAAGACACCTTGGCAATTCTGTAACAACTACATGAACAGAGCACACTAGTCTTTAAAGGTATTGCTAGGAAAATGCCACTTCTCAACGTTTTCGTTTGAGAACTGCCACCGCCTGAGGCACGCACATTTTAGCAGATTTGACACAATGTAGTAAGAATTATTCTATCCTGTGAGGCAACAGTGCTTCAGAAGGGGTTCATTTTCAAACATTTTCAAAAATACTCATCAGGAAAAGGCTTCTATCATGACAGGCAACCCTAACAGATTTAGCTGAATTCAGTATTGGTCCATATAGGGAGCTAAGGCGTCAGAGGGGTCTCTCTCCTACTGACACAAGTGAGCCTCACAATTTCTGTCAGCTTGAGTTAAATGAAAGAAAATGCAATTCATATTTCCAGAAGCAAAAGTGGCATATTTTCCAGTAAGTTTCTTGTTCTCATTTTACTATTTTAAGAGCTCTGATCACTCCCAGCGTTGCTGTGTGGCAAGATCTCCTTTCTGGTGGCTGGTCGACGTCCATGGCATGATGCTTCACCGAAACCATCTCCAGAAATGGTTTTTAGTTGTATTTAGCGTCAGCGTATTTATACACAAAATATCATATCGGTGGCACTGCGCCAATAAAGAAATAGCTCGCTCGGATTTCAGTTGAGTTTGTTAAAGGAAATCATTCTAAATTAGTGTGGCTACTGAACCACCTCCATCCTTAACCTCAGAAAATATATTCCTTCTGATTTTTGCCGTGAACACTTATTTATTCAAGTTAAATTCCAGCTCATGAATGTCGACCATACGGAGTCTAAACCTTCCTGCTGCTATTTAATATTCTTTTTCTAAACAGGGCAAGCACATGTTTGCGGCATTAGTATGCACAGCCAGATCACCGCCATGAAGTGAAATCATCTATGTATTTTTGGTAGGATCTTTAACAACTTCCACGCCCGTCAGGGAAATGGAACAAGGCTGTTTTGTTTTCAGACAGCAACAATTGTATCTCTGGTTTACTAGATGGCGCTCAAAATATTTTTCCATATGTTTTGCCGCAAAGAGAATCTGACATCAGCATGGTTTACCTTGACCAGTGAATGCAGGCTTTTTTCACCAAACATGTCCCAGAGGAAGGTCAGGTCTTCCTGGCTACCCACATGTGGCTGCAGCTGGGCTGGCAGGGCAGCTAACAGCTCATACAGGCCTATAAAATGAAAATAAAACACAAAGCGTCATCGTAGAGTGATCTCATTAACTTCGCGTTAAGGTGTGTGTAAATGACAGCTGGAACACGTCGTTTTTACTGGATCTGTACCCTGGGCCATCAAGCAAAACACTTCTCCAAAGAAACCAACGGACCTTTCGGATTTTTAAATTCCACACGAGTGTATATTAACAGGCAAGTTTTTACCTTTTGGTTATCAACATTCTACAGTCATCCAAGTTTACATAACCCGAGACAGAAAATGTGTACAAGCTTTCAAAAAAAAGAAAAGAAAAAAGGAAAGAAAGAAGAAGAAAACGCATACATTCCTTTCCTTAATCGTTATTACATTTCCCTCAATGTTAGCCAAAGAGTGAAATGAGTCATGAATAGGAAAAACTTCCTTAGAAGAACAGAAAATTGATAGAGTGGTCCATTAAAAAGGTTTTGTGGTTCCAAATAGTTCCTAATAATATATAGCTTCAAAAACATTTGCATTATCTAACGTCCAAAATCGAGTTCTAAAAAGTGAGACGGATTAATCCGTACTTGTTGTTGCTTTAGCATAGTTGCGCATTTAAAACAACAACAAGCTACACAGAATTTACGGGAAATGTGACACTCATCTGGGCGTACGGGATACCCCCTGAAAGAGTTAAGGTACAAGATGGAGGTCACTCGAGGCACGGCTCACTAGAAGCTTCCTTGGGGTAGACAGTAGCGCAGTGTTACACAGTAGCGTGCTGCATAAACCATCCATCTCCTTCAGGGGCCGTCAGACGCCCGTCCAAGAAATGTTGCGACAGTGTCTGCCCGGGACTCTTCAGGGAGGTGACCTGGCAGAAGTCAGTATCAACTCATAGCACATGTTTCACTTTCCAGTGGGATTACATGAGGTAAAAAGGACAAACTTCCTTTTATTTCTGTCTGCTGTCTACAAAAACACCAGGACCTCCTGGGATCTACAACACACGAGACTGTTGTTATTTCTGCTCTGAATAAGTGCTCCTGTTCATCAGAGGGACAGCTTTACAAGATATTTAACTGGCAAAGAATCGTAAATTATGGACTGCTGATTAGTGTATCTATTCTCTTCCTAGAGCATTATAATATTCTGATAATCAGTGATAATTCACAACTGTATTAGCTTTCACTTGGAAAGTCAGATCTGTAACTTGAGAGATTAAATTCAAACGTTCCTGGGGCTGTATTTGGCCAAAAAGATCTAGGATTCTCCAGGAAAAAAAAAACTTACCCCAATTACATTCTTAGGTATTCTTGATGGTTTATATTTATTCACTTAGAAACCTGGCCTCTTGCCCTAATTAGCTCTTATTTATAATTTAGTAATAACGTTTTTAAGGTGTCTCCACCTAATTCAATGTATAATACAGGTCTCACCTTACACAGATACATACACACACACACACAAAATAATGACAATTGCCAAGATCAGGGGTTTAAGTCAGAGGTTCAAATTTAAAATTATGTAAAGAGAAGGTAGAATTCCACTATTTTGTTACTGATTTCAGGGGCAGGAAAAATTAATCCCTAACTCCTCGGTAATATGATTAGTTTAATTAATGGTACTAACTGAAATGGAATATAATTTATGAGGTACAGTTTTGGGGGAGGCTAAATGAGGTACTATATATATAGTATGTATGTATGTGTGTATACACACACACACACACACGTATATATATTAGAACAGTCTCTGGAACATGGTAAACACTCAGCCTGTTCCACATATAACTCAGTGAGCTTCAGCCATGTTGTACTGTTATTCATCATTACTATTATTGAAAAAACAAAAGTCTGGGTCAAATAGACCAAGATTCAAATCCCACGTCTATTCTTCATTATTTCTCATAACTTACCCAAACCTTGTTTTCTTCACTGTTGAAAAAGAGATGGCCGGGGCGCCTGAGTGGCTCAGTCGGTTAAGCGTCCGACTTCAGCTCAAGTCATGATCTCACGGTTCGTGGGTTCAAGCCCCGCATCCAGCTCTGTGCTGACAGCTAGCTCAGAGCCTGCAGCCTGCTTCACATTCTGTAACTCCCTCTCTCTCTGATCCTCCCCTGCTCACGCTGTCGCTGTCGCTGTCTGTCTCTCTCTCTCTCTCTCAGAAATTAAAAAAAAAAAAAGGAAAAGAAAGAGACAGCCATCTGCACATGTAATAAGCATGAAAAAAAACCACGCAAACATGCACACGTACCAAAGTAAGTGCATGTGAGACAGGTGAAGTCTGAAAAAGGTTAATGGATTCTATCAGAGACAACTGGCCCAGTGTGATTACTATAGTTATGCAAGATGTTACTACTGAAGGAAGCAAGGTCAAGGGTACACAGGATCTGTATTATTTCTCATAACACGTGCTTCCACAATTACCTCAAAATAAAGCTGAAACAAAAGATATTATGGTAAATATGATCGTTTTAAGAATTGAAGGGGACAATGCACAGGGCAGCATTGAGCCCTGTGGCTGGTGCAGAATAGGCATTTGATTTAAATACACACACACACACACACACACACCATTACAATGGTTCAAAGTCAAGGAAATACAAATCAAATCCACACTGAGATACCACCTCACACCGGTCGGAGTGGTTAAAATGAACAAATTAGGAGACTCTAGATGCTGGTGAGGATGTGGAGAAATGGGCACCCTCCTACACTGTTGGTGGGAATGTAAGCTGGTGCAATCCCTCTGGAAAACAGTATGGAGGTTCCTCAAAAAATTAACACTAGAACTCCCCTATGACCCAGCAATAGCACTGCTAGGAATTTACCCAAGGGATATAGGAGTGCTGATGCATAGGGGCACATGGACCCCAATGTTCATAGCAGCACTCTCAACGATAGCCAAACCATGGAAAGAGCCTAAGTGTTCATCAACGGATGAACGGATCAAGTAGATGTGGTTTATCTATACGATGGAATACTACATGGCAATGAGAAAGAATGAAATCCGGCCATTTGTAGCAACATGGATGGACCTTGAGGGTGTTATGCTAAGTGAAATAAGTCAGGCAGAAAAGGAACAGATACCGTATGTTTGCACATATAGGTGGATTAGTTAGAACTTAACAGAAGACCATGGTGGAGAAGAAAGGGAAAAATAGTTGGGGAGAGGGAGAGAGGCAAACCATGAGAGACTCTTGAATGCCTAGAACAAACTGAGGGCTACTGGAGCTGGGGGGAGGGGAAGAGGGGTGATAGGCATGGAGGAGGGCACCTTGTGGGGATGAGCACTGGGTGTTATATGGAAACCAACTCGACAATAAACTATTTAAAAAAGAAGAAAAAAAGCAACAGCTTAGCTATACATTTCCCTGGACACACCACCATACTCAGAAGTAAAACCTTCCTAGTCTTTTACATATGGAAAATGTTAGCTTTACCCAAGTACTGCTTAACTTTTTGTGGGAATAAACCATATTATGTTTAAATTAAAATAATTTCTCCATTAGCGGTAGCTCATAAACCTGAGTTTTCTGGGTTTTCCTAGCTTTATGCAATCCTAATTTATATGCCACCCTAGTCTGGTCCCTAGAGATGACAGCAGCCACTACTCTTCAGCTCCCACATCTGGTGGGCACGGAGCAAAGCCAGGGGACACAGGACAGTGCCAACCAGAAATGAAAGAGGGTGAGAAGGGCAGGGCAAGTGGCCTCAACGTGGGTAACAAAGACAATCATTTCCTCTCAAATGCATCACAGGGGCCTCAGAAACCAGTGCCGGCAAAAACCCGGTCTATGTCCTCACAGGTACTTTCTATATTTAGCTCCTGGAGTTCCAATAGCAAAGTACACTACGAAATCCAAACCTTTCTGGTCCTTGAGATTGAGAGAGCAAGTGATGAGAGTTTAGATAGAAACAGACATCTTGAACAGTCTTACCTAAATCTACTCGGTCCCTGGGCAAAGCCAGGGACTACCTCCCCTGTAGTCACTCAAGCTCATTAGGGCTTCATTCCCACACACCTTTACAGTACCTATGAAGCAAGCACTGCTCATGGCTCTAAAGGTCTAAGATAAATGAGACATGATCCTTGTCCTCAGTACTTTCCGGTAGAGAGGTCAGGCATGGACAGCTCTGTTACAAAGTACAGAACAGGGTTTTAGACTGCATGGTAGGCAAGGAGGAAGACATCGGGGAAGGCTTCAGCAAAGACCACCACCTGAGTTACACCTTTCAGGGCCACATTCCTAAGAATTAGCACTTATGAATTCTTACATTCGGAGCACTATGATGGTTCCTGAGGACAAGGAGGTACAGACTATGCCACCACCTCTATGCCAGAGATCTTATAGCTTTGGTAACCAAAAATACCTATTATATACTCCCAAACAGAAGGCAATCCTAAATATAATGATCTCCTCTATTTGTCCAAGATTCAAAACCTGTTTTCTTCCAGATAAAATAAATAGATATTAGGGCTGCTGATACAATATTCAAACACCAAATTACTTTTCAGGGATGTTGATGAGATGCCGTGCCTGCTTATAATATTTAAATTATAATTTGGTTAGGAACACGCACTTTGAGTTACCTATTAAATACAAATAGGGTAAATTAGATATTTGGGTTTTGCCCCACTTGCCTATTTCATTTTATTTAACCATTTTATTTAACTTCTTCACAATGACTTCCTCATCATGAGTGCCGCTTGAGGAGTTGAAGATCATTTTCACTTCTAGTTATGTGAGATACAACACTTTTTTGAACACTTGGGAGATACCTTCACTAAGAATCTGGGTAAAGCTAGTTGCTTTTCCACCTGTCCTGTGTAGCTCTATGTTTTTGATCTCCACAACAAAACCACTAACCTATTCTCTAAGTATCTTTAACATTTGCAGATGTGAGGTTTGTAACCCCTTTCCAAGATAGAATAACGAAGCCTAGTTTAAACTACCTTGTCTCAGGGCACCTGGGTGGCTCAGTTGGTTAAGCGTCTGACTTCAGCTCAGGTACTAGTCTCATGGCTCACAAGT